ACTTACATCCCCATGTGTAACGTTGCGTAAATTAAGTACTGCGGGTCTCTTAATTCTTATACCCTGTTTCACTATTACTCAAGCGTTATTTAAATTGAGGTAGCGCACAACAGAACAAGGACAACAACAAAGGTCCTGAAGTAAAAACGTTCTTATTGTAACAGATGGCTTTGTAATGTAATCGAAATAGACTTTCAAGGGAGAGATAATACAAATGTTAGAAAAAGAAAACGTTGTAAATTTCTCCAAAGATGACAGATGCTTGAATGGGTGAAGAATGTGATAGCTGATAAAGAAACTACTTGCGAACCTTAAAGAACTCTGCCAACGATTTCGTTTTGTTTAATACCGTACGCTATTGGGACTCTGATGACTTTTCAACGCAACAGCAATCATATCGTTCCCCTTTTAGGACTGACTTGACCTGTTTAGATATAAAGAGAATCCTGACAGTTATTTGCGGGTGGTCTTCTTCGGATATTTTTTGTCAAAGCGAGTACGGAACTTATCAGGATGCCAGAACTGAGAGTGCATGCTAGCTCCTTATTAATATCCTGTTATTAATATTCTGCTTTATTGCGAGTATCACCGCGACCTTATCTTCAGAAGTACCATCGCCAGGCAAAGGACGTCATCATATCTTATTGTTCGAGGAGTTGTCTCCACAAACCTCTTCATTTGAAATGATATTCGAATCTACCTCTCACTTATTTAACCCTTTAACTCCCAGATCAAATTTGTAATTCTCCTTACCGTCAACCATACAATTCTTATAATGTTAGTTCAGAGAATTTAGTATTGGATCAACCAATTATCCCCAAATTGTTAGTTTTCTTTTTTCTCATCACTTGTTTAGTTGATATTGTATTATGTTGTAAGAAGAAATTCTGTTTTGGTCACTCATGGGAGTTAAAGGGTTAAACCATTCAGTGTTTCGAAATAGACGGTTTTAAATGCCTTGTCCTTGTAGCGCTTTACCCATAACTATATCATAGTCATAGCTGTCCCGTTCCATGAATGGGTACTTTGTCGCTTCTTCGGCGAATTCGTCGAAAATATATCTGTAAAAGTAGAGTTATTGGTGCGAAAGTTCGAAAGTTCAATTTTTCGATGTGGGGCACACGTATCCCTACCGGTCTTTTGTTGCGGTTTAAGCAAAGAACAACGTTTTAAAAAGAACGTGGAAAAACTTTTCGCTAGAAACACAACTACTAACTTACTTAATTTAACCTAACCTAAGTAGCATGGAAAACTCAATATGTTTAATTCTATTGCTTGTTACATAACGTTGCGTAATGAAAGGTGAAAGAAAAAGAGAAAGATATTTTTTTCCGCCTTGTCACGAGCGTGGGACAAAGAAAAAATTCTGAGTCTCCATGAGGAATCGAACTTCACATCTTCGGATTCCGCGCTTCGATGCTCTAATCACTGAGCCACAGAGACTCCACAGTGAGCGAGGTCTATTACGAAGTTCACACATATCCCTACCGCTCTTTTGTTGCGGTTTAAACAAAGAACAACGTTTTAAAAAGAACGCATCTTTGTTTTGTATTCCAGGTAACATATATTACCCTTCCTCCAGTCTTGGTCTGCCCTACATCTGAGCTTATTAGAGTTGCTCTTCCGGTGTTTGGGAAAAAAAAAAACTCGCACCACGCCTTCCAGTCATTAAAACTGTCTAACTAATGATCTCACACTCTAACACACATGTTAAGTAAGATTGCCTCAAGTCTCGCACATTATTTGGCACGCATAGACATCGCACATGTCAAGTAAGTTGACTTTACTTCATTCACTCTGTTTCGTTTAATAAATAGGTGTTGCTCTTGTTGACAGATTTATTCGATGACAAGAATCGTGATTGACATTAATTCAATAGATTGATTTAAAAGCGTTAGATTATTATGTTTTAAGTCAGTTTTTCAGCAGAATCGAAGTGAGAAAAAAGTTATTTTTTTACCGTTTTTCCGTCTCTAAATCCGCTTACCTGGAGAATCTGCTAACCCGTAAAGCGAGACTGTTGTAACGATTGTATTGAAATTTTTGAATCTAGTTACAAGATAAACACTTGATTTTCGTTTGTTCTAATTGCGAATTATAAATGTATTTCTTTTAGATCGAATAATTATTAAAGCCTGGCTTAATATTATACGGTTTGTGGTGGTCATTTGATCTCACCAGTTCCAAGTAAGGAAACACACTCTATTTAGAAAACGCGTATGATAAGTAAAGTTTCCTCTAGTTTCGCACCCTATTCGGCACGTACAGAAAACACACATGGCAAGCAAGATTGACTTCAAGTCACGCACTCTATTCGGCACGCACGAAACGTATGTGTCAAGCAAGATTGACTTCAAGTCACGCACTCTATTCGGCACGCACGAAACGTATGTGTCAAGCAAGATTGACTTCAAGTCACGCACTCTATTCGGCACGCACGAAACGCGTGTGTCAAGCAAGATTGCCTCAAGTCTCACACTCTGTTCGTCACGCACACAAAACGCACATGTTTAGTAAGGCTGACTTCAAGTCTCATACTCTAGTCGGCACGCACAGAAACGCACATGTTAAGTAAGATCGCTTCAAGTTTCGCATTATTTTCGGCGCGCACAGAAAACGTACATGTCAATTAACAATTGGTTCATACGTCAGCGTGCGTTCATCGAGATATGAAGCACACGGGAAGTTTGGAGAGCACGAAAGATGCGTAAGAGTTGCTCGAGGCGTAGCCGAGTGCAACTCTAGCTTCTTGAGTAGACTTACTAGCCATGTTATAAATGAGATTGACCACAAGTCTTGGACTCTATTCGACACGCACGACAGAAAGCATATGTCAAGTAAAATTGCCTCAAGTCTCGCAATTTATTCGGCACGCTTAGAAAACGCACATGTTAAGGGGGATTGACTTCAAGTCACGAACTCTATTCGGCACGCACATAAAACGCTCAGAAATCTCACACGTCATGTGAGAATGACTTGTCGCACTCTATTCGGTGCGCTCAGAAAACGCACATGTCAATAGAGGTTGACTTCAAGTCTCAATCTCTATTCGGCACGCACAGAAAACGCACATGTTAATTAAGATTGCCATAAGTCTCGTACCCTGTTGGGTACGCACAGAAAGTGCACATGTCAAGTAAGATTGACCTTAAGTCTCGCACTCTATTCGGTCTCTATTCAGACAGAAGATTTGTGAATTTTCTATCCTATTTTAAAACTCTCTCTCACTGGGAAGAATGAATTTCAGTCTCGCACTGGATTCGACACGGTGATATAACTCTTTCCTTTAACAATCTGTTACTGTTGTAATACGTCCGCTTATCTGACAGCTTCAAATAATGACGCTTGCCTTGCCTGACATGAGGTCACAGGTATTAAAGATTAAGTTCAAATGTTTGAGCTCATACATCGTCTTTTATTTTTTTTGAGAAAGAAGTTTTGACGTCTTTATATAGTGTCTTAATGGGGTTAACCGTTAGCCGTAAAACGGCTAAAAATTTAGTCGTTAGGCGTTAAAATCGAAAATTTTTAACCGTAAGTCACAAATAAGATTGAACGTAGAAAATTTTCATGTGTCAACAATTGGAAGATGTTAATCATCACCCGTAAAATACATTACCCCGTTGAGATCCTTTATATAGGGACATAGCGAAGGATTTGAAACTCAGTCACCAAGTCATGAATGGTTCTGTCTCGTTATTGTAAGTATTTTGTAGTTGCTTTTGATAATCAGCAATCGCAGATTGTTTTTACCAAAACCGAGGATTTGGTAATTTTTGTTTGTAATCACACACTGCCACTGCCGTGTGATTAATACACATTAAATTTATGTACCCTTTATTCTTTTTTTAATTTCTTAAAGTTCTGCCGTCACTGAAATAAATCAGGAACTGGAAAATATTACTAACCTAAAACCGATTACATTTTGGAAATGAGAGTAAGAAATTGCAGTCAACTAGAGAAATAAATATTGTCCTAAGAAGTGTTTGTAATTTGTAATTTAGTCAAGCGGATATTTTCTCAGTTGTCGCGTAGTCATTGGGTGCTTTGATATTCCTGTCGCAGTCTATCTTTTGGTCAAAAGTGACCCTTGATGATTGCTAAAAATTGAATCTAATGGCGAACGCAGTTTGGACGAAGCTGTATCTTGCGTGACAAATATTGACTAACCACATAATTTTGGTTGCACAATCGGTCATAATCTATGCGTCCTTCTGTTTTCGGCACGGTGCTCGATTCGGTATTTTACAGCTCTTTAGGGCCCAAAAAAAACCTAGTTGTAATTTTTTAGAAATTTTTCTTTCTGTTGGAATTGGTTTGTACATATGATTAGCGGTACGCAAAAATTCGTGTCATAAGCACGTTAAGACCGGAAACAAGTAAACAAAGTGTCATTCAAAGTTGTTGCAATTGGTTATGAGATGCGGTGAAATGCACGCAACATTCTGATTAACGGGTAGGTCAGTTTTTATACTTCAACATGGGAGTCGAGAACTAATCTCTCCTAATGTAAAAAAATTCAAGAGGACTTATGTGAGTCTTTAAAACTTTGTCCCGACTTCATCGTTTGTTGGAAGGCTTTAGTTGTTGCCACTTATGCTAAGCAAAACATGAATTTCATTTTTACTTTTTTACGCTATTTTATTATATATTCATCTATTTTCCATTAATAATTTTAGATGGAGTTCGAGGTACCGTATGTAACATGATTTTATCTTTAAATCGATTGTAAGAAATCCATTTTATGTTTCAAGAGGGGAAAATTCTAAAGAACTAAGGTGCTGCGTCAGTTGGGGGTAAATACAAGACCGAGTTGTTAACCATTATTAACCATTAATTATGAACTATTACCGACCCACGACTTGTTCCCAAGACACACGACTCACGACCCACGAATCACGACCCACGGCCCAGTCAAACTCGTTGGCAGGGGGCTGGCAGGGGGCTGGCAGGGGGCATTTCCGCTCGGCTAATCTCGCTTGAAATGTTGATAGAATCATTGTTATGAAGACTGATGTCACTGAGACGCCTATCGTTTACGCATATTTTGTTGCTGTTTGCAGTCCTCAATGATCACAACCTTCCGCCGGTGGGATCACATATAGTCGTCCTCTGGCCCAGTACTCGATCTTTTTAAAAGGATCACCTAGAGGAGGATAACCATAAGCTGTTAAATCCACGGTAAGTCATTTGCGTTTGGTGATTCGGCCAACATAATGACACAATATGTAAAGTTATTAATTTGTATCGTGAGAAAACTTCCAATACTACTTATACAATTATCTGAATTATTTCTTGTAATAAATGGTGGGAAACGAAATGCACAAAATGAAATCATCATTTTATAAACTTTTGGTTGTTTATCAGCATCGATTCACCCAACACTCCGTCCAAAGAGCTTTGCATGATCTTCAAACACGGCTTTGAAAAGACTATACGTGGCAATGCCCGAGGGCTTATTTCGACTTGTTTCGATCTAATGCACGCGAATTTTTAGGACGGTTTGGTCTTATCCCAAAAAGGGAAAATTTCGATTCTTGAGAATGATTTTTAGCAAAAGGGAAGCTAGAGAAAGGCAAAATTGTCTGTGAACAACCCAATGAAGATTTCAGCATGATGTGATCGCATGGTTAGCTACAGTGTCAGAGATAACTCTGCGTGAACACAGTAGCCAGTAGAAACACAGGCGGTCAAAGAGTTCTGTGTGTAATTTCGGGGTTTAAATCTAATATGCTGGATATGTACATTAACTGGAGTAGTAAAAGCCAAAGTTACCCCAGTATGATTGATATTCAATCACTCTTTAGTTCACAATGGTTCACCAAAGTCGATATTCGATTCCCTTGATATTGAACGATCGAGGGTTACATTTAGATTAAATTTTAACCATTTGCGTGTGCCGTAAAAAAGTAAAATAATGAAAAATATTGTTATAAATGCGATAAATATATATAACGTGTAAACTCCTTATCTTTATTCCATATCTGAACTTGCCTCTTCCAGCCGTTTTTCAAATCATACACTGTACACTTAGGCCGCCCGTGGCCGAAGGGCTTTACGCTGAAAATTTACAAAATTTTCAACCTTGAAAATGGCGTTTCTAGTGTTTCGATTAGTTCACCTTACTCCGATTATCAGTGCATATTCCGTGTCACCGTTTATGGAAAGCATTGCCTTTACTGTCAAGTAGCTAAAAAAAGCTCCATCTAAACGTTAAGGATTTAATGAAATTCAAAAATTCAGTTATTCAAGTTGCACTTGTTGAATACGGGAATGGTTATAGACTTCTGGGCGCTACGCACCTCGTTGAATATTTATCATCTTAACGCGCGCTTATGGAATAAACGTTAAATAAGTCTCTCCATGGGTTGCTATTTTTAATAACATACAGTTCCATTATTTTAGTCTCGAAGATATCTGCTTACTAGCCTGCAGAGCAGGTGTAATTTAGGCTAGCCAGCGCTAAGTAATTTCATAACGAATATTATGGCCGCCATCTTTGATTTTAATGGCCGGTCGAACAAACGATCGCGAGCTTTTAGCGTTAGCTCGCACTAACAAGACGCCTGCACTTTAGGCTATCTGCTTACAAGTTATTCTATTTTAGTCACTTTCCAGGAATATGAATATTGATCATCCTCCCCTAGTGCGAACAAAACCGCCCGTCGAAAAACATCAAGCAGCAGTTCTGGCAGCTCGACTTTTCAACCTGCATATCACAGATTTGTCTTTTGTCAAAGAGCTTAATTCCTATGACGACAGAAACTTTTACATGCGAGGATCCTTGAATGGGCAACGTGAATGTCAAGAATACGTTCTCAAAATTATAAACGACGTAGAATCAAGGCATGAATATTTCCAAGAGTTTCAGTGTAACATCATGTTGTTTCTCCAAACACGTGGCTACAACTGCTCCTCCCCAGTCCTTTCAATTCTCAAGACGCATTTGGTCAGGTGCAAAATCCCACGAAAGCATCGAGCTGGCATTCTTCACTCGGAGCCTGGTCATGTTTCTACGGTAACAGACAAAGATACGAATGGAATTTCTTTAGAAAATGGTACTAGCACTCTGTCTGTAACAAGTCTTAGAAATATCGTTGATGGAATTGAGATTTATGACGGAGAAGAATACTCTGAAGAGGAATTCTTGGTCTGCGCTGTTCTCCTTTTGAACTTTGTACCGGGTAAATTACTGAATGAAATCCCGCTGAACACTCAACTGCTGTTTAATGCAGGAGTGGCCGTGGGCAGCATGGATCGAGACTTAAAGGTAAGAGAAAAGCAATAGCAAACAAAAAGCAAACAAAGGAAAAAAATACCAGCAAGGTGGAACAGACATCAGCTGTCCATCTCGACTCTCACTTAAGACTGTTGTCTCGTCTCCTTTCTTGCTCATGTTCAGCCTTTGCAGTTGTTTAATTTATTGTTGTTTACTTTCTATTAATTTTTTTAGATTTGTTCCAGGAAAATCAGATTGTCATTATTATCATTATCGTTCTGACAGCTAGTGTACTTTCTCAAAGTGGAATTCGTTCATAAAAGTTTAAGTTGCCGTTGCTTTTTTTAGTACAAAACTAAAATAATTTTTTTAAAAAACGAACAGGATTTCGTCGGTGAAGAACTGAAGCGTCCAGAATTTAGCTGGGGCTTGTCGAATGTTGATGAGAAAATTGAGCCTTGCCTCGAAGCTGTTACTGATCCTCATCATGTTGAAATGGTTCGAGAGGTTTGTGAAGCTTTTAGAAAGACTGTGAAACCAAAACTACATCTCCTACCCAAGCAAATCATCCACGGGGATCCAAATTACACCAATCTTGTATTTGCTCCCCGTGACAAGCACTGTTCACAATACTCAGTGCAGGATATTGGTGTCATAGACTTTGGAGACCTCAACTACAGTTGTACAGTATTTGAAATTGCCATTGCCCTAATGTACATTTTGAACCTTGAAGAGGTTTTGAAGTGCGGGCGAACTCAAATGGCGGGACATTTCTTCGCGGGATATCACTCGGTTCATCCTTTATCTAGCGAGGAGTTGGAAGTCTTGCCTGTGCTGGTAGCGTCAAGGTTTTGTCAGTCATTAGTATTTGGCGCTTATGTCAGTAAACTCGTTGATCCTGGAAACGAATATATCTTGGAAACAGCCAAAAACGGGTGGAAGAATTTAGAGGAATTTTGGAAGACACCAAAGGAAGAGGTGCTACAATTATGGATGGAAATGAGCGAAAACACACGACAAAACCAAAATTAACTTTGAGAGTGTCTGTAAACATGGAGGAAATGCTATTAAGATATTAACATAGGTTTCACTAAATGCAATGATAACCACCGTGATTATTTTCATCTGTAACTCAATTTTATCCTCAAAACAGTTTTCAAATTAATATTTATAGTAATCTGGGATTGCATGGCTTTAAATTGGTTTTGCTCTGCTTCGCTCTGTGATTGGTCCAGAAAACTCGCGTTCACCTCTCAACCAAGTAGATGCAAAACTAAAACCCAATCGAGACTTGGTCACCCGCGTTTTCCCGCGCTTAGGGTATACGTAGTTTTGCCGTAATTTGATAGAATACCTGTAGCTAAATTAAATGCCACACGTTTCGATCACGCCACGAAATAAATGCACATTTAATTTATTTGCCAGATAGATGAATATTTTGATTTAAAGATGTGTAGTTGTGATTCGACTGAAAATAGATATTATATTTAATACAAATATCTAAGTACAAATATAACAACAATAACGACAAAGCTACATGAAATAGAATCGAGCTTACAGTTTGTGGTGCAATCAAGTCTGGCCGTAAAACTCTTTAAAAAAAAGCGGAGCAACTGCAGAATACCCTGCCACTTTGGTCCACCTCATTTACATGTGTCGGGAGTTTGAAGATCGAGGCATAACACAATAGACGTTATTCTTACTCAATGACATGTAAATGAGCTTAGCCACAAAAGCAACACGCGAACATTCTGGTGAGAAATGAATCGCTACCGCCTTCTGTAATTCCTACATGATCTCACGCGAAGTCGCCAACTTAATATTAATTGAGTAGAAACAGAACATCACAATAGTAGTTCAATAGAAAGAAAACAATTCAAAATCATTTCGCAATTGCTTTACAATAAATAGAAATGTAAATTCTAGTTGCTTCAATGTCCATTAAAAATGTAAATATTTGTCTTGGAATGTTGTGATAGCATGGCAAGGTGCAATGAGCCGTGTTAAACAATTTCGATCAATCGAGAAATTTCGTCAACTGTGCATTCTCCAAACTGACAAAATCATAGTTCGCTCACATAACTTTCAGAAGAAAGATGTTGTCACAAAACCTAAGCATTTCTTTAAAATAAAAAGGTACTTTCAATTTGTGAAAGGGCAAAACTGTTTTGCGATATTGATCTAACTAATATTTAGTAATGCTGAAACCTTTCAAAAGGTCGTGTTGGCTGTATTTGGCTGTATTTGTATACCTTCTTGTGATACTTTTGCCGTGCGCGAAAATCTTAGCTTATAAATCGTGGTTACACTAGCCCTTTTACTCATAGGTATATAGCGTTTGCCCACGGGCAAGGACGTTTTTGTGTGTAACCGCTTAGCTGCCTTAGGGTTGTTTCCATGGATACATCAAAAAGAACAAAAGAACTTCCATGACAGTTCCTGAACTGCAAAGTACGGTTTATCTGCTCCCTGAGGTGGCTTGGCCAATCATAAAGCAGAATGTAGCGAATACAGGAAATCGCCTGTACTGTTTTGAGGTGACCTCCGATGCGCTTGGCTAATTTCGCGCCTTCTTCGGTGTCTTCTCGCAAAAAAATGCTGAACTGTCATATTTATGGAGTACTGTTGTATAAATAAGAAGGAGACGGAAATTAAGCTTAATTGATCTCGATTTGTAACATCCATGTTGCTCTGTACTTTTCCTGCCAATTTGTTAGGTCAGTGAACTAATATCTAATTATATTTGACCCTGAGCGGAGTTTTATACTGTGTAACCGCACATCCCCAAGGGTAACATGAAACCTGAGCTTAACCAAACCCATGCATTTACCCTCCGTAAGGCCCCAAACCCAAGGTGTGTGTAACCACCACTATAGCAAGGTTATCCTGTATTTTAGCAACACAATAGGTACAAAATACAGTTTAAGGTCTCCGTGTCTTGAGGATATCATCTTACGGGACTCTCTCTTCTAATCATGATCATCCTTCCCTAGTACGAACAAAACCAGCCGTCGAAAAACATCAAGCAGCAGTTCCGGCAGCTCAACTTTTCAACCTGCATATCGATATATATCACAGATTTGTCTTTTTTTAAAGAACTCGATGCTTACGTGGATAGAAACTTTTACATGCGGGGATCCCTGCCTGGGCTACCTGGATGTCGAGAGTTCGTTCTCAAAATTTTAAATGACGTAGAAACCAGCAAAGAATAATTTATAGAGATTCAGTGTAGAACATGGGTACATATGCTCCACCCCAGTCAAGTCCATTCTCAAGACACACTTTGTAAAGTGCAAAATCCCCAGAATCTACCAACCTAGCATTGCTCACTCAGGGCCTGTTCGTGTTTCCATAGCAACAGACCAAGATAGTAATGGTATCTCTTTGGAGACCGGTAATATTCCTTTAACCGTTAAAAATCTTAGAAACCTCGTTCATGGAATAGAGATTTATAACGGCGATGAATACTCTAAGGAGGAATTCCTGGTGTGTGCTGTTTTCCTTTTGAACTTTGTACTAGGTGAAGTATTGAATGAAATACCGCTGAACACTCAACTGCTGTTTACTGCAGAAAAGGTCGTGGGCAGCATGGATCGGAATTTAAAGGTAGGAGAAAATAGACACCTTGTTGATATTTCAAAGGAATCACAAACAAACAAAAAAACTAAATAAGCCTAAACTAAGCACTATTAACCTTAAGCTAAAAGTGACCAGAATATATTTTTCCTTACAATATCACCCCTAAATCAAACATTAAGGTCATGAGAATGAAGGAAGTGATCACCAACAAAAGAAGCTCTTGATCTTAAACAAATTCTCCTCGTGAGCACCTCAGGAAACGTACAGAGAACAATATGGAGATTTTGCATTGTAGGTGTGAAGGGTTAATATTCTCGAACGATACTCATGGGTGATAACAAAATTGTTAAGCTTGAAGGCAACATAAATTAGAGGTGCGACTTAGTGCGCGCGCACATTTTCAATTTATAAACGCCATGCTGACTAGATCCAACAAGATGAAAACAGCTATCAGAGGTTCCTCTCGGTCTTCATTCAGAGTGTTTGTGCTACCGTTGTCGGGTTAAATTTTCTTCTATGATCAGCCACTGCAGTGTACTTAACAAATAGAGAAGCCTTGACTGTGCTCTGTTCTGTTATAAAGCACGCAGGAAGCGGCTGGAGCACGAAAGAAGTGTAGGGAGAAACACGAGACGTAGTCGAGTGTTTCTTCCCACTTCTTGAGTGCTCTAGCCGCTTCCTAAGTGCTTTATAACAGAACAGAGCACAGTCAAGGCTTCTCTATTTGTTTTATAATAAAGAATCCGTTAAATTCCCCATGTATTACTTTCAATTTTCAAAACAAACTTTATTTCCAAAGCGAAGAACAGTGTCGTCAGCATGCTCTATACTCTCATAGAGCACGCTACAATAAGCCAATCAGAATCCCTGTTAGAATGGTTCAAATAATCTGATTGGCTGTACAAGACAAAAGCTGTCAAAAGTGTCAAACCATCAAAGTTCAAAAACCATCAAAGTTCACACTCTGCGATAGTTTACAAACTAAAATAATTCGGCAGGTCGAATTTAACGCTTTTGCCTGAAGTTTTTCATTCAGAATCTTGAAGTGAAATGTTCAGTGAACTTCAGCCGAATTATGGCTCATAAAAACACGCGGGTTTTTTCACATGACAAGGTAGAAAACAAACTGTTCAAGGCGAGTGTTTTTTAAATGAATGACAGCCGAATTCACCGGAACATGAAGATCGCTCGGGATGACAGCGCCGCAAAACTCGGCTGCAGTGACTGAAGTGACTTTCCACTCAACACATTGGAAAGGATATCAGAGCGAGCTCTTATTTTTTCACTCGAAGGGCGGCATGATAAGTGAGTCGCGATGGACTTCAGCATGATCATATTTGCTCAGACACCGTCATGATTAGTATGAATTTTAAAAATTATGCCAGTTTGATTATATTTTTCATCATTTCTGTTTTGTTCTGTTTTGTTTTTGAACTCTGAACTTTATATACTATACGAGTGTTGGCTGTGTTTGATTTTCATTACCGTACGTAAGCTTGCTATCTAACTGAGCGTGAAAATCTTTAAAACTCGGAATGTCTATTTTGTTTTTCCTTTGAGGATTTTCGTATCTGCCCACGTTTTAATAACGTAAATAACGGCGCCTGGTATGTTTACAAACCTTTCTTTGGTTCTTCTGTTACTACTTGCCGGCTCGCTTGTTCCGAAATTTCACTTTCAATTATCGGAAAAAAGCTAAAAAGAAGTCCCGGAAAAGGTCGAACATGGTACAATTTGGCAGATGGCGTGACAGCTTTAGCTCAGTTCTATGCTCTATACTCTCATAGAGCACGCTCTTTCAACCAATGACAGCGCGCGTTATATCCGAACTTTATTATAGCATTATTTATGCCACTTTCTCTGTTCGATATGCTCAAGGAAAATCAGATTACTCTCATTATCGTTATTACCATTGCCGTTATGATCATTTGAGCAATTCATTTCCGATTGAATGACGAAAGCAATCCGATACTGCATTAGTTATGCTTAACCTCACTCTGTGATTGGTCCAGAAAAGTCGCGCCACTGGCCACTCTAGCAACCAATCAAATACTGAACTAAAATGACAAGGACGCATCGAAACCAGTCGCTAGGCACTTTAATCTTCCTAATCATTCTAAACAGCATATGGCAATTTGCGGCCTTTCCTTACATCTAGGCAGTTCGGAAAGCCGTAAAACACTAGAACAAAAATTTATATTCCAAATCGGCACCCTTAATCCCCACGGAATCAACGAGCGCTTTTCATTCAACTAATTTATTCCTGTTCTCTCGTCACCATATTCCCACCAATGGCGTAACTCCACTTTCTGCATATAAACCCACACATAACCCACAATTCCTCTAATCGCTCTGACAAGGGGCTAACGCTCGAAACGTCAGCTTTTTTACCCTTTACGGTGGCTAATTTACGTTTTCAACCCAGTTGTTAACACTAAATTACCTGAAATACTGAACTAAAGCGGTCCTCCGCGTTTCCCGCGCATAATAAGGCAGTTTGGTTGTGTTTACTTTGAGTTGTCATTGGCCTTTAGGTATTGTTCCTTCCCCTGATTGGCCGTTTTGATAACTTTGGTTTTGGTTTTACAACAATCAATCGAAGAGCAGTCTGTTAGTATTAATACTCATAGCAAGTAATTTAGTGTTAACAACTGAGTTGAAAACGTAAATTAGCCACCGTAAAGGGTAAAAAAGCTGCCGTTTCGAGCGTAAGTGTAACCGCCACTAAAGCAAGGTTATCCTGTATTTTAGCAACACAGGTACAGCCTAGCCCTTCGTCAATCGCTCTGACGAAGGGCTAACGCTCGAAACGTCAGCTTTTTTACCCTTTACGGCGGCTAATTTACGTTTTCAACTCAGTTGTTAACACTAAATTACCTGCTATACTCTCCCACCGACGCAGCACCACAGTTTCTTTAGAAACTTACCTCTTTATTAATATTCATAGTTACATAAGCCGATATATATTTAAGTTGCCGATGCTGTCTTGATAAAATCTTACATCATCTGTTTATTAAAACAACTAGGATTTCGTCTATGCAAAGTTGGAGCGTCCAAACTTTAGCTGGGACTTGTCGAGAGTTGATGAGAAAATTCAACCTTGTCCTGAAGCTGTTACTGATCCTCATCATGTTGAAATGGTTCGAGAGGTTTGTGAAGCTTTTAGAAAGAATGTGAAACCAAAACTACATCTCTTACCCAAGCAAATCATCCACGGGGATCCAAATTACACCAATCTAGTATTTTCTTCCCGTTATAAGCATTGTTCTCAGTATTCGGTGCAAGATATTGCTTTCATAGACTTTGGACACTCAAATTTATGCTGCTTAATCCTGAGCAGTGGTGGGGGTCTGGGTACAAGCGAACCGCTTTCATGGCTTTTATGACCTCAGCTGCTTCGATTCGCTGCCCACTCACGGGCTGATGATGATTTTTTTTTTCATTTTTCTTTCTTTTCCTTTGCCTCAAAAAATTTATACATACTCGGTCGTGGAATAACGCTCGGCTCTCTAACTAACAAATTATAAACCAAAGGGAAAAAAAAAACAAAAACGAAAAAAAAAAAAAAACATAGCAACGTAAGCAATGATCAGTTGAAAAAATACAGAAAAAGCTTGACAGCAAACAAACTGCTCACAATTAAAAGTATTAATCCTGCATTATCCTGCAAATATTTATGTTGATGTGTGAACTTATTACTTAAGACTAGACAAGAAATCGCCACTTTGTCAGATACAATCAAGGTATTACATTTGCAGCATGGGTGTTGTGAGCGGTAAGGCAAGGCGAAAACAAACCAGCAAAGTAATTAAGTTCAAACATTTTTGTTTTAATCAACGGATCTCTTTTTCAATAAATTTTAAAATTTTTTGTTTATTTATTTTCTCTAAATGCCGTAGCCAGAAGTAGGAGAAAAAGAAGCAAATTGCTTAGGACTGAAATTGAAAATCTCAGCCCCCATTTATTTTACGTGCCATGAGATTCTCAAATCTGCTAATTTTTACGTGTTTCGTTTTGGTAATTTAACAGGAGAAGATCTAACAAAATTTAAAATATTTCATACAAAAAGTAGACAATTCGTGCGTTTGTAAGACAATGACAATAACTAGCCCTCGGGCTTTATAAACTTCAATTATAACCAGATGCTTTATTTAAAACGACTCTGGAACATGTCGAAGTCCTCCCACTTGCAGGGAACGTGAATCTTTCGTCATAAAGAGCTTCTTATCATCATTATCATTAAGATTGAGGAAAGAAGTTTACACTACCATCGAAACAAAATTTATATGCATAAAAATAAAGGTTACGAAGAGCGTAGGAAGCTAAGACACTTATTTCAAGTTAAATACCATTTTAAAGTTTTGACCCTTCTGTGCTTAATTTCCAAAAAAGAAGTGTTTTGGAAAACACGCTGCTTTAAATTGAACCAACCAAACAACCGCTCGACTCTTTGCTTGGATTCCCAATTTCCATTTTTCATTATGTCAGTTTCAGATGATTTCAAAGAAAAGACTGTCCACAGCAAATATTTCGCTTCACCTGTTTCCGCCTCCTTTCTGATAATCCCGTATTTCATCTAAAAAGATAAATACGAGGCTGATAAGCAGGCGAAACAAGACAGTGTTGCCATAAACGACCCTCGAGCGTGACAGGAAACAGAAGGACCGGCGGATATAGATATGTCACCTATAAAACTGACAGAAAAAATTTGCAAGAAGGAGTGCCTCGCAGTCTTCGCAGAAAATATGGAGCTCAACACTACGAACTCAACCTCGGCGAATACTGCGGAAGCACCTCCGACTTTGAAGCACGGTGCGAAAGCTGCTTTTCTCTACGATATCTATTTAACGAGAGGTGTTCTCGCCATCAGCATGGCAGTGATCACATCATTCTCAAATGGCCTTGTGATATTTTTAGTTCTAAGAGATCCAAAGAAAAATCTTCGTTCATCTCCAACATGTCTTCTTGTAGCAAGCCTTGCTCTGGTGGATTTAGCAGTCGGCTGCGGCCTGGAGCCTACTGATGCACTCTATAGTCTTGCCATTGCAAATAGAAAGAAGCCCAGTTTAGATCGAAAAGACTTGCAGAGTGCTGCCGCGTTTCTTCTCTTGTCCTCGACAGTTCTGGTGATGCTGATAACTTTCGACCGACACACAGCAGTATCTAGACCTATTCAGTACCCTTACAGCATCACAAAGAAAAGAATCACCATTAGCGTTGTGTTAGTCTGGGTCTACTGTGCGATTCTTATAGTAGCAATACGCCGCTGGGGAAAAGAACTCAGGAACATTCTTTTTTGTGCTCATATAGACTTGGTTTTGTTCCTTACCACTGGCCTTTTCTGCAGGATTGTCTACGTGCTACGACAACAAACAAACATGTTAAAACGGCTAAGTGTGAACTTGAAGGGTACTTTTGTGGTTCAAGCGTCGGCTCGTGAACGGAAGGTAACGCTCACACTCGCTACTATGCTCGTGGTATTTCTATTCTGTACCATGCCCTGGTTTATCATGATGCAGATCTATGATTACTGCCAAATTTGCCAGAAATACTGGTGGATCATGAAGCTCCTGTTTATTCTCTTCGAAGCGAACTGCGCTATTAACCCGTTCTTGTGCACATTCCGTTTGCCGCGCTACAGAGCGGCGCTGCGATTGACTCTGACGCAGTGGGGGTTTTCACGCGTGATTTGTCAATCTTCGCAGCGAGCCAGGCGTGCGTATATACTCAAGCAAAAACGCTTGAGTAGTGGAAATCATTTATGCGGAAAGAAGAGTCTACAAATTCAAATTTTGGTTTGCCGCCGATTATGACTCACAATGAACAAATTGCTTACAAAGATTAAAACCAACCTGAAATACAATTATAAGGGTAATTTCAAACCATTAAGAAGAAGTTAATTTCGTAGTTTTTGAGCTCTCTATGTAAAAAGAAATTTAGTTATCAAATGGAAGTTAAGAGCGTTTGTGATAAGAAACAAAGTGAGATCATCATTCAGCTGTTGGTAATTTAGATATAAAATATGCAAATGTTTTGTGATAATACAAATAATAATAATAAAAGTTACAATGTTTTTATGCGCGCATTTCAAGTCTGTGTGGGCTTTCATGTCATCAATAAAATCAATTTTCAACACAAAATATCTAAAACACGAGATTAGTAAAAACATATCCAACAATTCCCTTAGTTTAAAGAAAAAACTTCCAAATTAAAAATGTTTTTAAGGGCGGCTTTGAAAGACGAAACCGAAATAGCACTTTTAAGAGAATTGGGGAGAGTATTCCATAATGTCGGTGCATAGAAGGAAAACGCATGTGCTTCAGAGAGAGAGGTAAATAAATAAAAGCTGGCTTTTTTCAAAAGAAAGGAAAGGCGTTTATTAAATGATACTGCCCTATCCTCAGATTTAAAAATCTGCTCTATTCGGATCGAGAAGCCTGTCTCTTTGATTTGTGGACATGTTCGTCTGTAGAGTTTTCGGAACCCCAACTGACATATTTGACAGTTTCCGGGTTGAAGATAATTACTGTGGGTGACCCAAGATGGTAATTAACTTCTCCTACAAGGAAGTGGTTTCAACAAAACACAAATTCAGAAATTGCAAAAAGATATTTCCAAGGATTTCGGACAGAAATAAGCATAAAATTTAATTTTTCCTCATTAAAATAATCCCAGATCTCGAGAGACAGTTTTGTAAGCAAAATATTTCTCTAAAAAACCTTGAAAATAATTCTTAATATTGGGGCTCAGGATTGATTCCAAACTTCGTAATAAAAAATCTGAACATTTTCTATTACTATGAGTATGAGGGCAAGAACATTTTTACATGTAGAATCTATACGTTATCACCGTGAATAAAAAAAAGAAAACTGTGATAAACCAACAAACAGACACGTCAGGACATGGCTCATAGCAGTCTGACAACTCCTTTCAGGAAATAGGTAGACCTTAGTGCCATTGGAAAACAATAATATAAGAAGCTGTTAAATGGAAAAGGTAAAACTTTGTCTTGCTACCGGAAGCACCCCCTATGTATTAAGAATGATCGAATCAAGTTGAAACCATTTCCAAGGAATCACAAAAACCTGTGAATTGGTGTTTGGAAATAACAAAGAAAATTGGTGTTACCATAGGTAATCTTTTTTTCTTCGCGCTCTCGACTTCCTGTAGGTTAGAATGATTTTAGGTAATTATTGTTACTCTCCTGAAAAAAAAAATCCCTCTCTCCTTTTTGAAAATTAACTTTCACTCAAATCATGAAAGTCAACGTTCCACATTTTACATAACAATTGACGACCACGACCTTAGATCGCTCATTGATTATACCAAACCTCGCCGATACTTATTCAAACAGGTATGAATTACACAAAGATTGAGCCTTTTTCAGGTTTCAGTCAATAAAATAGGCGCCATTAGTTCGCAGGAACTGACAAACACCGAAACATTTTTGAAATAAGAGTTTGTTACGCAGTTGCAGTCAAACTCAAAGTGCAGAATGAAATTTAAGAACAGATCTTCATTTCTGACCCAATTTAAATTCAATCCTAGTTGCATGGGCACTGTTGACTCTAAATCAGTTCATTGGAACTAGCTGTCTAGTCACGTTCGTTCTTCGTAGATGTAAAGCAAAACTGGTGAGATTACCATGGATTACATTCGCTCAATTTGGCTTTTCAGGCTATGGCACAATGGCAGACTGCTTCAGAATCAATCTCCTTAGTATCGAATCAGAATTTCATGAAGAGAAAACCACATTTTCAAGCAAGAGGAGATCGTCGACTTTCATGGTCATTCGGCGTGGTTGATCAATTAAAGTAACTTTTAATTTGAGTACGATACCTGATACTGACAAATGTTTCTTTACTAAACGTCAAATCATAGAGGAGAAAAAAATGGCTTTGAAGATCACTAACTGATAAATGAAAAGAGCAAGGTCAAAAAGAGGTCTGCTCAATTAGATTACAGATCGTTCCAAAGCGTAAGAAAAAGGCTATTACACTTAGTAATCCCACGGGAAAATACCAGCGTAACTTAATTTTCTTATAGGACTCAAAATCCTCATGTGGCATAAATAACTAAGTCAGGTGAACACTCATCACACGCTATGTCCCAAACTGGTGAAAATCCCAATCTCGTTTTCTTCAAGAACCTTGAAGAGAAATTCTTAATATTTCCGTCGCTGATAGAGAGAAAAGCTAGTTAATAAACTCATCCCTTATCATACAAAATGCTACCTTTTCATCGCTCCCGAACAGCTATATAACCAACTAAGTTTTCAAAAATACGAAAAAAAAATTACCTTTGCCACCATCGACAAAAAAAAAATAAAGATTCTTAAAACTGATAAAGCTCTCCAGTACACAACACAAATATTCGATCAAATAAAGCCATGATCCACGCCAGAGAGCCGCAATTCAAGCAATTGCAGAAAAGATGTCTGAAAAAATGTTCAGGCTTGGACAGGATTTGAACCCAGGCCTCCCAGGTTATAGTTGGACGCACGCTACAAACAACTAAGCCATGGGCTGGGAGCAAGACACAAATATTAGAAATACGTGCCCGGTTTTCAGCCGTCAATCCTTAAGATCGCCAGCATTGTTCAATGTTCGTGAGAGCGTCCTATGTCTAGTACATGTGGAAACCTTGAAACAGGTCATAGGGGTATGCATTCCTACTCGTCTGCAGTACCAAAACAAAAATAAACTCACTAATTTTAAGCCTTGATGAATCGATAATGAGAACGACGACTGGTACCAGGACGTGGCAAAACAAGAGATCTAAAGGGCAGACGTGCGTTTTCAAATCGAATTCTATATATTCCTTAGCCGTCCTCTGCAAAACAATAATAACGTTAAGTCATCCAAATTTACGGGGTTTGTGAACAGAAACCCCAACGGCAGTTATTTGAATTACCATTTGGAACTCACATACGTTATGCTGAAGCTGAGTTGTGGGGCCATAGGAGATGGTAAACACACTCAGCCATTTGCGAAATTCTCAATAAAAATGTAAATTTGTGTTTTGATCGGCGTCTTCTCGGCGTTGCCGTCGTGACTGCTTAGAAGTCCTTTTTCTTTTAATCGAAACATTTAAAACGCTTTCGGTAAAACAAAACTTGAACTGGAAGCCAGTCTTCCTTTTCTGCCCCCTCGGTTTCTGCAGTTGGCGTCTCGCCTTTGAAGCTGATATTCTTGCCTTGCGGGACAAGTTGACCTGAAGCAGCGACGAAAAAATTCGAAACGCAATAGGGCCAACTTTACACTTGTCTTGTAAGGAGGCATCCGCAGTGTACACAAGAACGGATTGAAAGCGCAGTTAGCTTGGAACAAAATAAACAGCAACTTCATGATCCACCAATTCTTTTTGCAAATATCACAATAGTCAAAAATCTGCATCATGATAAACCAGGGCATAGTACATACAAGGAATATCACAAGCATGAGTAATAGTGTCATGGTTATTTTACGCTCGCGTTCTGAGGCTCGAACGACGAAGATGTCATCCGAGGACCTGCTAAATCTTTTTAAGCTACTCGTCTGCTTACGCAGCAAGTACACAATGTTACAGAAAAGCACCGTTATAACCAACACGACTACATCGACATGAACACAGAAAATTTCATTCCTGAACTTTTCGCCCCACTGTCTTATACCAATGATTAGCAGGGCGCAGTAGATCCATACCATCACCACGCTTATGCAGACTCTCCTTTTGGTGATTCTGTGAGGGTAATGAATGGGACGAGATATCGCCGTGTAACGATCAAACGTTATCAGCAAAAGTAGAAGCATTGAGCAGAGGAGAAAATAAGCTGCAGCGCTTTGCAAGTCTTTTCTTCCTATGGAGTGCTGCCGTCCAAAAGCTATGGCAAGGCTGTAGTAGGCATCAGTGGGTTCCAGGAAGCCTCCCACCATGAAGTCTACTAGAGCCAGACTCGCAACAAGAAGACAGCTCGGAGAAGAACGAAGACATCTCTTTGGATCCGTCAGAAACAGAAACATTACAAGACCATTCGAGAAAGATGTAATCAACGCCATGGGTATGGCGATTATTCCTCTTGTCAAGTAAACTTTTAAAATTAACTCGGGCAGTTCTCGGTGTTTTAAAGTCGATGGTGCCTCATTTGTGGTATTTATCACCAGTGTATCCGTGCCGTTCATATCGATACGTCCTTGACTCGCTTTGTTCACCTTACGCTTTATCGAAACGTTTGTTTGGTCTCCTTTTTAGCATCACCCACTCTTGAGTAGGTGAGAACCTAACATAGGTATTGAAAGATTCGAACAAGCAGAGTAGACAAAGAAAGACAGACTGTTAAAACGTGCAAGTTTCAACTATTCCGCAACATTCCAATTTCAAGGGCACGTCCTTGACGTGTCTCGAAACTCTACCCGATTGCCCTTGACCGGGTGAAAACGAATTATTCAAAGTTTTCAGCAAGGAAAGAAAACAAAACACTTAAAAATGCATTAGCGGTTATAGATAGCAGATTTATGGAACTGAAGGGCAAGTAGTTAATATTTGCGCCCAGTGTTAATTTTTATGCTGGGATTCACTGGGACAAAAAAGGGATCGAATGATTTAATCAATCAGGTCATAGTCGATAGACGAAGATAAAGCTGAAGACGAAATCACTCAAAAACAAGAACAAATTGACATTAGCTGTCGTGCGTTTGTTTGAGCCGTGTTATCATTTCGCTGACCTGTTAAAAATTGTTGCTGGGTCCGCTGAAACCAACACTAGTGATATTTATACTTGTTGCATCAGGTTTCGCTGAAGGTTTTAGCAAAGTATCTCGCGTATTTAGGATATCATGTTTCTCCCATAGAAATGCCGCCGACGTGCGTCTCCTCATTGTTAACCCTTTACACCTAAACATCAGTATATGATTTCTCCACATTGTTCCCTATAGATCGTTTTCACGTGACGTCACATCATTTCCGGTCGGCCATATTGGTGTACCACTTTCGATTGCGTAATCCACGTAATTTTTCCACAACTATCATTCCCACGAGTAAAATGGATTCAAAAGAGAAAGAAAAAGAGTCCCAGAACAAAAGCGGGGTCCACTATTCTTTTCCGATATCCGAATACGCGAAGCAGCTGGATTTTCCAGTCAGAGATCGATATTTACAGAAAATAGCGGCAATTGGAATTGATCCAGTTTTAGTCGAAGGGAAGGACTTTAAGCCGGACTGTTTGCCTCCTGTTGAATCCACAGATATTTTGTGTTATCTTGTCTTGGAGACAAGTTTCTACACTCAGAAACAGTTTAAAGCTTTTCGAAGTCTTGAAGCATATAACCAAATGGTCTCTGGTTTTATCGCAAGCGTGCAAGGCCACATAATCGCGACAAGTTTCTTGTTTTAGCAAAGGTGAGACATTCCCAGCGTATGAACGACTCTCTTGTTTCATGTTGGGTTAGGAGATTGTACCTTGTGGAGTTATCCCAATCAGCACCTTAACAGTGTTATGGTGTTTGTACGATGACCATGTCTGTGCTCTTGCGAGCAGATTTGATGGTCTATTATTAAATACTTCGAAACAATCAATAATCACGGTAGTTTTGTTTCCAAATGAATATTTAAAACACTGTGGCATAGTTCGCCATAAATCCTCACGTTCAGGCCAGTTGATAAGTGGAGCCAGGCGTACATCTAGCGCTACCATCCAGGATGAAAAAATCCTTGAAACTGTTGAAAGGGAGACATTGAAGCGATATGAAAGATCTTGATGTGGTGCGTCAAGTTTAAGTTTTATCAAAGTCGTGACAAACTCTTGAAATGTGGTCAGATTCTGGGACTTGTAAGCAACAAACGGAGAAACATGTTCTCGATCAGTAGCTTTATTGTGTCCCAAAAGCAATGTCGGAACCCAGTCAATATTAAATTTATCCCAGCTCTTAGCTGCCCTTCCTGAAACAAAATGCTTTTCGCACACACGATCGTTTTCTAAGATCTCTTCGGTCAGATCGTCACGGCTTATCGCTGAAATCCAGCGCGATCTTCTTTCTTCGGATAGTTTCTGTGCCTCTTCGCCTTGATTTGTGACCACAGAAGGCACCCTTGCAAAGTACAACCCTTTATCTCGTCCACTTTTGCTGCCACAGCCAACGATCAGACACAAAACCATGTTCCACGCGAAGGACGCTACTAGTTTGTTTACAATTGAGGTACACCAATATGGCGGCGTAGCAACGGTAGTCAAGGAATTGGTCACGTGAGTGAAAACGATCTATACATTTCCTATGGTACTGACGAAGAGAATTTGTTTAACAATCAAGAGCGTCTTAAATTGGTGATCATTTCCTTTATTCTCATGACCTCAATGTTTGTTTTAGGAAGTGATGCTGATAGGGAAAATAGTTAGTAATCACTCTTAAGGGTTACGTAACACTCAGTCAAAGAAAGAACTTTCTTTGAAGTGACACAGGTTTTAAGTTAATACCAACTTACTTCGGCACAAACAAAGAAAATAGAAAAAAATAGGGTAATTTCATCGTAACCTTTTACTTATATAGAGCGAAGGATATTTCATAACCTTACAGGCCGGCCTTCATCATTAGCGCTTCTGCGCAAGCGTTTCTTCACTCGCGGGAAATTATAAGGCCTCGAGGGTGGGGAACCGTGCGTCTCGCAGTGCCAATGCGATGATGAGGACTTGCTCGCAGGCCAGGAAGTTCAACTACATAACTCGTGTACTTTACAGCTTGTGAGGTAAAGATTTCGAAGGTTATGCGCAACTGGGTAGAAGGACTGTGCTACACCCACAGTTAAGGTCCAAGATGCCGTGATAAACAGTGGAGCCTCCGCTCAAAGAAAACGAGGCTAGAAAAAAAGTGTCTGTCTGCAAATGATAACTTTTCTCTATCACAGGTCCCTCATCTACAACCCGGCATAATTTGAAATTTGTTTCTTCGGCTAGGATCCCTGCAAAGGGAGCTAAAAATCCACAATTTACACGAGCACAGGTTACGGATCTGCACAAACGTTCGGGTTGCCGGGGCAACCTTTCTTCCAACCAGAACCCAAAAGCATTAGCCGTAAAGATGACAAAGAAACCTTTTACAAAGTCGTTTCGACTGAATAGTGTAGAGACAAGAAAAAGCAACATGCCGTGACGTGTAGACAGGAACAACTAAACAAACACGGTAGTTTGAGCTGAATGTAGACCATGGGGCCAATTTAAGTTGGAAAGAAATGAGTAAAATCCAACCTTACGCGTTAAGTCGTCGTATATCCTTAACAAGGGTTACCTGGTGATGTGGTAAATCTCCCCTACGTTTTTCCCATGAGTACTTGCAAACATTTGAATAAAATAGGGTCACCATTCACGTGCTAAGTATTCCAGGGTCTTGCACGAAGGCCTTGAAGGTAACGTATGCAATAGTTCACGAAGTAATAGCAAGGAATCTTTATCCTTCCTGACCACAGTCTTATTTTCCTTGAATAGAACTACCCCAAAATAGTTGAGATGTCCTAAATTGAAACTTTCAACCGCTAAGGACCGAGCGGAATTTATCAAAAATGATAACGGAATGTGTGAGATTCAATTGACTAGAAGGAGTATCTTATCTTGCGCAAATGTAGGATCGGCGACGAAAAAAAATGCTTGAATTTAGGCATGGGTTCAATATAATGTTTTTCTTTCAAAAATCTGCAAGCACTGTTCTTCGTAACCCAGAAATGTACTGAAAACTCAACAAGTTCCTCAAACTTTCTCGGTTTTCCCTCTGTCTGTTTTTAACAATAATTGTGTACTATGCGAAAAGAAATATAGCAATATGAAATTCCATTTGCAAGTGCTTCTCTACGAGCATCACCTGACTAATAAACTGGAACACTACCACTCATTAAGATCGTGAAAGCCATGCGGAGAATGGCCGGCTAAAAAAAAAAAAAAAAAAAGATTGCTCGTTAAATTTGTAACTTATTTACTATTTATCGCTTCTCGTAATCCTTCATATACCGACTGCATTCTTAAGCTTAGGGAAGAAACAAAAACTTTAACCATTTCTTTCAGCCTTAATCAAAGAATCGATAATGGTCTACGGAGATTTCACCCTGACAATTAAAAAAACAACTTATCACTGCAGAGATACAAAGCTCTTAGACCGTTATTCAGGAATAGCTAATCAATCTCCATGTCTGCGTCAGGTTTGGTTTCTTCGCCACCTTCCTGATTTTGGTGCTCATTCGGTTTCTCCACATTTTCTCCTTCCTGGTCCATTTTCTCTTCCGGCGTCGAGTCTCCCGTCCCCTCTTCTTTCTTCTCTTCTTCCTTTGGGGGAGGTGGTGGTTCGGCTTTGGGTTTTGGTTTCGCTTTGTTCAAAATAGTGTAGCACGTGTCTTCTAACAGCTAAAAAAAATACACAAAGCCAAAGAGATTTTAAAGTTGTTTGTTAGGGTACATGTAATTAAGGCTACAAACGAAAAACAAAAGATTCTCTCCAGTTCACCCTTAATTTCTGTGTAATGTCTGTACTCGAGCCCAGAGCCCCACACAGCTGGAGCTTATCCAGGTTTCCTTAGCATGAAGCGACTAAGAGTATCACTTTACCAAAGTTACCAAAATTATAATGTAAAACTAAATGAAACAAAAATCAACACTCAAACTCAAAAAAGACGGAAATCGAGTGATGGATACCTTTTTTTCGGAGAGTATGACCGAGGCATACACAGCCGGATCTTGATGATCAGCGAGTTTGCTCTGTGCATTCCACTTGTTCTGTAACCATTTTTCCTTATCTGCAACAGCCACCTCCACCTTTTTTATTTCTTCTGCTTCGATATGATCGTACTTTTCATCCTGTATGTTGAAAGAAAGACGAAACTAAGAGGAAACTCTCTGTCTTTTGGACTAGCTCACTTACGAAAACTGCTGGGATTCAAATCATCGTTGGGAAATTAGCCTGTGATCGGGGTCTCACTGTAGCAAGTAAAGCGAAGCGGCAAGAGCCTTGCAAGAAATTCTCGCGGCTACTGGAGACTACTCGTAGTAAGCTACATGGAAAGCGTAAGTATTTTGTCCTACATCAGTGATAAACGTGTACCATTTTATCCAATTCTATACTACAACCTTTAGTGAAATCACTTGCCCGCCGCGAGGCACCAATTCGAATTTCGCACAAATCGAATCAACTGATCGGCACATGCGCTTAGGCACGTTGATCAATGGCGTGTTCTAAACTCTCGCATCGAACAACCTTTTCAAATTAATAAAACACAACAAATTCGACCAGTCAGGAGGGTGTTCGGTTGAATAGTTTCCCCTCACGTAGTCACTATGGCTTACAATCCCTAGATCGTGGCCTTATTTTCACTACTGCTCAAGTAGTGTTCATTACTGCGAAGATCGCTTTCATTCACGTCTTTATCCGCAGTTCAGATCTATGACTTTCACATATTCACATTCGTTTATTCACTACTTCAGGGGTTTATTTGGTACCAACATAACGACCAGCTCCCAGTTGGCTTATTGGCTCGGTTGGTGGAGCGTTGCACCGGTGTCGCAAAGGTCATGGGTTCGAATCCCGTACAGGTCTGAATTTTTTTCAGGCCTTATTTTCACTATTGCTCAAGTAGTGTTCATTACTGCGAAGATCACTTTCATTCAAATCCCTAGATCATTTTTTTCCTCTGTAAACTTTACCTTCTGTGCGCAAAGCTCAAGAATTTTCCTGATTTGCTGGATACTCTTTCCAAGTTCATCAAATGCAGCTGGTCTTTTGGTAGCCTCTGATAAGCGCGTCTCTACCGGGTCTCCCACTTTCTGTAAAAAATATTGAAAGCGATGAGTAATCAGTGTAATGGAAGGCTAACTCTGTAATGAAAACATAGGACTTCACGACAATGAAGTTTTTCCCTTTCAACGTGTTTCACATCAACATTAAAAGACTTCTGATATTACCAGAGGTTTCAAAACTTTTTCCGTAGGCGGCTGTGCCGTGAGGCGAAACCTAAACACGCGAGCCTGCTCGGCTAACCCTTTTACTCCATGAAAGATCACGGAAAAGAAGTGGTTAATCCCACAATTTAGTACACATTTAAAATGAAACCGACCAAGAAGGAAAAAACATCAACTAGTTCCTTGAGAAATGTTACTTTAGAATACAGTGAGGATTATTGGTACCGACATCTAACAAGTAAAAAGGTGTACTTTGAGGATCAGCTCACGAAACGGTGACCGCAGTGGGATTACTGTCCTCTCGCAAAGCAACAGAAGCTGTGCATTTCATCCTTCATAAACGGTTCATATTAGTTTACCTTCAACTCAGCCAGCTTGTCTTGGTAAACTTTCTTGGATTGGTTTTCGCCCTCTTCATAGAGCCAGTCTTCGGTTAGCGACAGCAACTCCGAGAACTTCTCCCTTGCCTTCGAAGGAAAGTATCAAGAACCATCATGTACCTGCTCATTCTTGGCAGATTTTGTGTTTCTTATTTTTCCCCAGCCTACATATTATAGTTGTTGCAACGTTTTCAAAAACTTCCTTCTAAAAAATTGCCCACGAAATTTTTATGCAGGAGTGGATAATCTTCGCAGCAAATAGGAGAAGGTCTCCATAAGAAAGCGCTGAATTATCAAATTGGAATCGAATGCCGTAAGTAATCTAAGTGATCCGAGATTGATTTGTGTTTGCTTTATCTCGCTCTGGAAATGGCCCAGAAAACTCGCGTCACTTTCTCGACCAATCAGATTCAAAGCTTACTTGCGACTTGGTCACCCGCGCTTTAGGCAGTTTAGTTGGTTATACATTGAGGTCTCATACGCTCATAAAGGTATTTTCCCTTCCTCTGATTGGCCGTTGTGGTTGTGATTACATTTACTTAAGGTATTGGCTTTACTGCACTCAATCGAAAAGCGCTCTGATATTGAAACAACTACAATTATCGGAGAAATGACAATCTGGTAGTGTTCAAACTGCATGGGTTTTTTATCAACGGTAAGCAGGCCATAATAAACCCAGGCCCAAAGTTTGTATGTGATTCAGTCATGGACTATCGGCCGAGTTGTTTTCTTTCCCTTCTCGTTCTTCAGTGTGATCCACTTCATTGAAACACAGCAAAAAAGCTTTGAGTGCTTCCTATGTGACAGTTGAAGCATTACACAGTATGTTACCTCCTCTGTGATGTATTTCTGGAGTTGATCGTACAATCGTCCTCTCATGTCATACACGTACGATTCCACTGCATTCTTCGCAAATCCTTTCTCTTTCTCCAGCCGATCCTGCAGTACCATATGGCACTGAAAAAAGGAAACAAGCACGTCATAAAATGATAAGAAACGCCAATATTTCTGTGTAATTCGCAGAGAACTGAATAGCAGTCAAAGAAGGGAATTACTGATCCGTTCTTGGGCGTTAAAAAAGGTTTAGCTGCTTTGGCGCTTTCAAGTTTTCTTTGAGTGCATATCAAGATCTGACAAGGAAAACGTGCCAAATGGTGTGAAACTTCTCTGAATCGTAAAAATTTCCCTTCATTTGTGTCCCTATCTGTATCAAGTCAAAATAACAACAAGATTTCGGTTTGTTACTTTCTCACGACTTGAAATTCACAAGGAAAACTTGATAAATACTGCTCTATCCGCGCAAAAGAGATAACATCTATATCTGACCTCTTTATCGATGGCATCCTGCAACTGGGACTTTGTCAGTCCAGGCACTTCAGTTTCCACTCTCAGTTCTACTGTTTTAACTTGTTGTTTTTTCTTTTTTGCTGGCGCGCCGTTCTCTTTCTTTCCTTTGTTGTCTTTGGCGTCTTTATCTTCATCTTCCTTGTTGCTAGAATCCCCATCTTTTGTTTCTGATGTCTGTAGAAAATTGGAATACAAATGCGTTCAATACGATGCAATGCAGCTAAACTAGTGTACACTTTAATTGCATATTGCTCGTTTTAAATCAAAACTACCTCCGAGTTCATCGGCTCGTCGGCATCTTCTTTGTCTTGTGATTCATTAGATTCCTGTGTCCCTTGGGTGTTCTAGGATAAAAGTTATTCCCATGAAGATTAACAGTAATGCACGTCCTTCGTCAGAGGACAGTTCTAAGCCCTAGGGCTTGACATAACGGCCCGCAAAAAGTCAAATCTTTGGATAACCAACATTTTATCTGGTCTAGAGGGGAGGGGAATTTTGTAGAGACGTGACGTACTGGATATTTGTCGCGCCAAAAATGCATTGCCTCGCCCCCTCCCGTCTCCTTCTTTTTGACCTTTGCTCATCACATTGGTCCAAAATTTTTTCTCTCCCGAGTCTTCCGCTGCTGTTAAAATCAAAGACGGCCGCTGTAATTTTCACCTCGAAAATACTGAGCTCTGGCTCGCCAAAATTACACCTGTCCTGAAGGCTATCAGCCTCGAGAACAGGCAAAATCTTCATCAGTGTGGCATGTTAAATATACTACACAATGTAGTTACCCTTAAACAGCTGAAGTCTGGTCTTGAACCCTGCAAATTACCCAGTGATGCAAGGAACGAAGACCGCTGACGTCTTACCTCGGGCGCGGCATCCCCAGCTGCTTCTTTCGTCTTATCTTCTTGTCCCTCAACTTCCATTGACTCCGCTTCTGGCTCAGCGACTGCAGGTAGTTTTTCTACCAAACTTGCATTGACCACATTTAGTATACCATGGATATTCAAACGAACTTTTACTTTGATTTTGGATGATTCTCCTTCTTTATTGGGAACAACGTCTTTGATCGAGAACCGACCTAAATGAGGAAATATGCTTAGAAGAACTTCCATCTGTTTCTGTTTTTTTTTTTTTTTCCCCATGGCAATGCCTTATTTTGTTGTCGATTCGTAACTGAAACTTTAGTTTTTTTCTTTGCTTCAAAAATACATCCCAGGGCTGGGACAACGCTCTGATTAACCTTTTACATCCGCCATCTGTATGCATAATCTCAATACTTTTCTCTATACATTTCTGATGGTGCAGACAATGAGAATTTGTTTAACAATCAAGAGCTTCTTTAACAGATGATCATTTCCTTCCTTGGGGTCCTTGGTTTCTCAAAGGAAACCTCAGACTGAGAAAATACTTCAAGTTGATGAATTTTATTTAAGCCCAGAATATCCTTTATGACCCAGAAAGTTTTCACTAGAACACCATAACCGAAACACCCCATTGAAAATTTTTTGTCAACAAAACTTACCAATGAAACCATCTTTTAGCGGTAGCTGTGTATTTTTCGAGTAGCTAGCTTCTAAATCAAATGGTTCTTTTCGATAAAATGTCAGCATCTTTGAGAAAGGGAAAGCATGGTTAGGAGCAAACACCTCCATCTCCCTACACAATAAAAATGCAATAAAATAATACACTCAACATAATTATCAATAATCACACACATGTTACATATTATCATTACAGATCAATGTCAGTATCTATGCACCTGCACACCCACCCCTCCCCTGACAAAACATTAAACCTAACTTATAGTCCGTGATTGTTGTTGGATTACGGGAGGGGTAGGTGCTAGGTAAAATAACATGCTGAGGTTGAAGTGATTTTCAGTGAAGTGTTGAAGATAATCAGGCTCTGCCTTAGTTTTGCTCATTTAACATTTTTAAACCAAACACAAGTTAACAAAAAAAAAACAAGACAAAAAAATCAAACAAACAAACAAACAAAAACAAAAAATAAACCCAGATATTTCCACGCCAAGGGCAGTCTGATTGTTCTTACTAAATAAAAATTTTTTTTTTTTGCTTTCATTATGACAGGCCGTTGTCACCATCAGAAGCCTATAACCCAGAAGCATTTATGCATGTCTGAAAGCTGGGGTTTACCAGAGGCAGAGACCTACCCAATCAAAATTTACAGATCCATGGGCCAGTGAACCAATCATAACACAGTTCTACACTTCTGTCATTTACTTAATTTTTTTAATTTATTTTTTCACTCAATCAAAAAGAGCTTTTGCTTATAATGGCTAAGTATAGAACATGAACCATACACTGAAAAACATTGAACTTATTGGAAAAGGAGCTGCATGATGTTTCATTTCCTGTGTTTTAACTGCTTCACTGGCTCATGGAATCATCTCCATACATATACTGTAGATGAACATGTAAATGTCACATAACATTTTGAGGTTACATAAGATTTTCAGATACATGTATGTCTGTATAGTTTTTTTTTAATTATCAAAAACTTAGATTAGTCTAGTTCATAAACAATTAAGGCTGGTTTTCCAACTGTTTGAAATAAAAAAATTGTGACACAAAGAATCTCACAATTTTCTGGCAGCCCCAGAACTTGCCACTTCATGAAAATGGAAATCACATAAAAGAGGACAAATATTGAAGGCTTTTGGTTTTATTGGTAACAACCAATAAGTTTTTTTTAATTTTTGGAGACACAGCAATATTTTAGCTCTTGAAGCAAATTCTCAATATCTTGACTCTGGTTCAACAAAATACAAAACTAGGAAAAATGTAAACAAAAACTTCAGTCTGTAACTTTCTAAATATATGAGCACCAAAAAAAATTATGAGTGGAATTTTTCCAAGAAAATTGCACCAGCCTTTAGAATAAGTAATAAAGCAATTTACATACCCTTCATCCTCAGTGTTCTGTGACTTCCAGGTTAGGACAACTGGATATGGTGTTACATCATTGACAACAAATTCTCGCACTCTGAAGGTTGGGGATAACATAGCACACTGCAGAGCACAGCCGCGAGCCACAGCTTCATCAGCATTCAGAGTGGTACTGACTTCCTTATCGAAGAGTGCCTTTATCACATCTTTGACAGCAGGAATACGAGTACTGCCACCAACAACTTCAATGGCCTCTACATCAGCCATCTTGAGCCCTGCAATTAAATTTTTGAACATGATCATGAATTTGACCTTGTGCACCAACATGCAGCAGTAAAAGCAAAACATTTAAAACTTTGAATCAATCTTTAAAGTTTCAGCGTGGCTTGAATCCCACTTTCTGATTTTCAAGCAAATTACATATATAGGTGACTCTTGTCAGCCAACTTAAGGACTTCAGGTCCCAGTTGTTCAAAGGGTGGTTAACCCTTTAACTCCCAAGATCTCATTAGTTATTCTCCCTACCGCCTGCCATACAATTCATATGATTCTAATTTGGAGAATTTGGTATTGGATCAACCAATAATCCCCTAATTGATATTTTTCTTTATTCTCATTACTTGCCTGCTTGATATTGTACTGATAGTGTAAGGAGAAATCCTGTCAAGGTCACTAGTGGGACTTAAAGGGTTAACACTATCCACTTGATAAATTGCTATCTGGTGGATAGCACGACATGTTTTGTTACCACTTATCTGCTGGATAACATTTTAACCATTGGGTAGCATTATCTGCCCTTCGAACAAATGGGTCCAGAAGAAACAAGCTCACAAAAACTGTCATACAACTCTTATAAGCCTAAAGTTGCTGACAACTGTTGAAGCTTATCCCAGTTTCAGGAATGTCCAATAAATTCTCCAGCTATTGGCTTTTTCACAACTTGGTCACTGTAAGTATGGTGAATACACATGCACCTTGACTTCTTTCCATTTCTTAGAAATAAGACCTCCCTACATGTACAATCAACCAAACTGAACCAAATCTGGTACTAAAAAAATTGAAAAGTTCCAAAACACTTGCATTCAAATGTCAAATCTCTCGCAAGAAGTATTAAAAATTCATAAGTTTGTTACTAAAGAGACCATAGTCTACCCATGTTACCAGTACCTGATTTTTCCATCAGTGATTTCAGGGTAGCTTCTAATCTTTGTAAGTAGCTAGAAATATTTTCTTCAAAGGTTGTTCTATAAGAGAGGAGAACACAGTTCACTACCTAATTGAATAAACTTACATAATATGTTCAAAGGCCACAGCATATCGAATACCATGACATTCA